TTGTTGCCCAGTGAATTAGTTGGGTTTTTATCAATTTATATCAAACCTACTCAGATTGTTCCTGTTCGTGCTAAGTCTCGCGTAATAACGTCTCATGATTCTAATACGCGAAAAAGAGAATACTTTTCTACAAAATCTAAATGTTTTAAATGCAACGGTTTTAGTCATAAGCAGTATGAATGTCCTAAGCGTGTGAAATTAAATAATCCTACCGGCAGAAATGAGCTATTGACTTCGGCAGCATCCTCTTCGAATAATTCTCTGAGTAAGTCTGATCCCTGTAGTTTTTGCAAAAAGGTAGGACATAAAGTCAATGACTGTTTTGCGAAGCAGCGCTCTGAATCACGTGGCAAGTCTAATGTAAATTTTTGCCGTGAGAGTTTTGATGAATATAAGCAGAACGATATAGCAGCTGCAGTGATCCAGGGTGTACCTGTAGATATTCTTATAGATAGTGGCTCGCAAATTTCTATTATTTCGGAATCTATTGTAAAACATTTTCAATGCACTCAAACGCCGTCTTTTAGCATATTGCGTGGCATCGGATGTCAAGAGGTTGAGTCCAGCTTTTCTACCACTTTAACCGTTTAAGCGTGGCATCGGATGTCAAGAGGTTGAGTCCAGCTTTTCTACCACTTTAACCGTTGAGTTCCCTGACATCATCTCCCTCGCGGTTGATTTTCACGTGGTTCCTGACCGATATCTAAATAACCCGGTTATACTTGCTACGGTACGGTGTGGTATATACACGAACACGAGGCACACAACATTTGACGCGTTCCAAGACGGTTCTCAGCGTGCGGTCGAACTTGCATGAACAAATAAATACAACGGTCGATGGCGATGAAAAGACACATTTGCTATGTATTATCAACGAATTTTCTGATTTTCTCGTTACCGGTACAGCTACCACGACCGTTAATACTGGTTCAATGCATATTCGATTGCACAATGCGACACCTGTTGTGTATAGACCATACAAAATGTCATATCACGCGAAGATGCGTGTAAAGGACATTATTAAGGATTTACTTGATAAAGAGATTATTAGGGAGTCAGAATCAGAGTTTGCGAGTCCTATCTTATTAGTTAAGGAAAAAGACGGCAGCGACAAGATGTGTGTCGATTTTCGGGCGTTGAACGCGAACACCGTGAGGGATCGTTATCCATTACCACTCATTGAGGATCACATCGACCGCCTTGGCAAAGCCAAGTTTTTTACTAGCCTAGATATGGCTACAGGCTTCCATCAGGTCCCTATGGATAGCGATTCCATTCACTGCACTGGTTTTGTGACGCCCGAAGGTCACTATGAGTACCTTAAGATGCCTTATGGTCTCGCTAATGCACCTGTTGCTTACATATGACATATCTGACAAGACATATCTGATACCCTACGTCCTTTTATCGAGGCTGGTAGGGCTTTAGTGTACATCGATGATGTCCTCATTCCAAGTGATACCATCAACGAGGGCTTGGAGACGCTTCGCGAGGTGCTGCGGACTCTGACCACTGCTGGTTTTTCAATTAATTTAAAAAAATGCACGTTTCTTGCTAAAGAGGTTGAGTACTTGGGGCGTACAATAAGTCATGGTCAGGTTAGGCCGAGCCAACATAAAATTGAAGCTCTGGTCAGGGCTCGATCACCTAGCAATGTCAAAGAAGTACGACAGTTCCTTGGTCTCGCTGGGTATTTTCGGCGTTACATTCCCGGCTATTCTCTCGAAACAGCTTGCATTGCTAACTTACTTCGCAAGGGTGTGCATTTTCAGTGGACTGACGAGCACGAACAGGTTCGTAAAGACATTATTGACCGATTAACTAACGAACCGGTGTTGGCCATTTATGACCCTTCACTGGCCACAGAGGTGCACACCGATGCGTCTTCACGCGGTTATGGTGCGGTTTTGTTTCAAGCCGACGCTGAGGGACGTAAGTGACCTGTTGCGTACTTCAGTAAGGTAACTCAGGGTGCGGAGCCCCGTTACCACTCATACGAGTTGGAAACGTTGGCTGTGCTTAAGGCGCTGCAACATTTTAGGCACTATTTAATCGGAAACAAGTTTAAAGTCATTACAGATTGCAATGCCTTAAAACTCACCCAACGTAAGAAAGATCTCCTGCCTAGAATAGCTAGGTGGTGGATGTATTTACAAGATTTTGATTTTGACCTAGAGTATCATAAGGGGACTGCGCTATCACACGCGGACTACTTGAGTCGCAATGCAATTAATATGTGTCAAATACAGAGGCCACATAACTGGGCCCAGATAGTGCAGGCCGCTGACGAAGAGACCCGATTACTATTGCAGAAACTTAATGACGGTGAACTCGATGCGCAACGTTATGTAAAACGCAAAGATGTGTTATATTATAAGCTTACTGTGACTGGAGAACAGCCGCGCTTTTTATATTATGTCCCAAAAGGCCACCGTTTGAGCCTGCTGCGGCTACAAGTTTGTTATTTAAATAATAGATGCTTTTACAAAGTATTGCTTATTATATCCAATTTTTAGGCAAGATACTAATGAATTAAAACATGTATTTGAAAACGCCATTTCCTTATTTGGTACTCCTCGCCTAATTGTAGCGGACCGAGGACGAATGTATGAAAGCTCCTTATTTTGTAACTGGATTAGAGAGTTAGGTAGTGATATCCACTTTATTACTGCAGAAATGCATCAAAGTAATGGGCAGATTGAGCGGTATTGTAGAACCGTTATGAATATGATTCGTGTGGAGACAAACTTTCGCCAAGAAAGTTGGTCTAAAATTATTTGGAAAATACAGCTCAGCCTAAACATTACGGTGCAAAAATCTACTCAATGCTCACCCTTTAATTTATTAATCGGTAGGGATGGTGTGACGCCCGTTATACGATCCGTTGTCCACGACATCGCGATGGATGCAGCCAGCCCTAACCGAGAGTCTCTGCGTGAACTGGCGCGTCAGCGCGCAAGCGAGCTGTTGGATGAAAACCGGGCACGACAGGACGCCTGTGTAAATGCGCGCCGTTAAGTGCCTCGGTCATTCAAACTAGATGACCTGGTTTTCGTGCGCAAAACAAGTCAGTCTACTGGGAAATTAGACTCTGGGATACGAGGCCCCTACGCTGTCACCAAAATACTGCCTCACGGCCGATACGAGCTCAGGCTGGTCAGTGGGTCGTATGGTAAAACCACACGAGCCGCAGCCCAATACATAACCTTGTGGCGAGGAGAGTGGACCCCCGACGTGTGTACGGCATTCTTCGAGTGTGAGTATGAGTTAACTAAGCGGTTTGCCATGCATGTTGCGTATCCTGCGGGCCCTGCGCACATTTAAAATACTCTGATGGCTCAGTTGTTTACCGCTCGTCGCTACAATGTTATGTTGTACATCCTGCGGGCCCTGTACACGGAAAAAACCTGATACCCCGAGGGCTCTGCCAGTCATACAACCTGAGGGCTCTGTATGCGGATAATGTGGTAACCTGAGGGCTCTGCCACTCGTACATCACGAGGGCTCTGTACAGTCTCTAGTAACCTGAGGGCTCTGCTAGTGGTGTGGTTATATTTATGTTTGACATCCTAGGACCCGTCTAACTTAAAAATATACCCAGACGACGTTGTTGGTTGACTTTGTGAAGCTTATGTACAATGAGCTACTGTAAATGTACAAATGTAAACAATATCGCTTGTAGGTACTGATGATGATGTGGAGGTCGACATCTCGACTGACGAAGAAGGTGTCGAAGGAAACCTACAAGAGGTAGCAGCGGAGGTCCATGTTCAACCATCGCGATCACGCCCAATGCTTTCTGAAGATGCTGCGGTCGAGGACGAGCCGCCTTCAGGAACGGCCGAATTAGCCTAAAAATGGGCCCAAGTCGGCGTGGCCTGTTTGTGACGTCAGCATAGCGCGATGGTGAGACGACGCGTAGAGGGGCGCGCATGCAGCGGATTACCGGGCGGTCATCGCTCACTTTGGCTGCGGCCGGCGGATCGGACGGACGTTATTAATTTAACTGCTCCTATTTTTAGTTGTCTATTTTAGTTTGTGATTTTGTTAATAATTAAATCTGTTGTTGTTGGAATTATTCTTTTATTTTTAATAAATAACGGTCTAGAACGCTAAATCTTGTTTTTTTATATGCCATATTTCCATATATGCCATTATGGATCCACGCGTCGAATTATAAAAATATCAAAATCAATTCAGTGTAGGCTGTTACATAGCTATCTTGTATAGTTATCCTGTACTGAGAAGAACCGGAAAGAAATTCAGTTAGGGCTGCCTTTTTCTCTCTGTTTTATTTCACACCGAGAAGTCTTATTGGAATGCGATTCATTTAGACTATGAAGTCACTTTTCGTTATAATATCAGATATCCTACATACTCATTGACAAATAAATATACAATATTCATAATAAAAGAAAATGGACCAAATTATACAGTCCTGTGCAGACTCACCCCTACTGGCACCCGTTGACGAGTTTGACACATGAGTCAGCCATCACTTCGCTCATCTATATTTGAGGGAACGTAACGACCTAATGCACTCGATTTTAAGAGGGCATGACTACGATAAGTAATATCATTATCGTATATCACCAAAACTATTAATTTATAAAAATAATTGAATCGATATCGCAACTATGAGTACGTACATGCAATTTTCCATACATATTTTACGGATGCAATTTCGCACGTCTATATCATCGATATCGAATTGCATGAAAAGCCTTTAAGCTGAAATAAATAATAAAAATAAAAATATATTTATTGTTACAAAAAGTTAAACCAAATTATTGTATAAGATAATAGCCGCAGTAGTTAAAAATCTAAACCATATCAAAAGTCTTACTTAATTAAAATGTTATTGTCGCCCTATTAAAAACGAAGAAATAGCCTCTGTATATTATATCTCGCTCGCCTCTCTTTTCAGCCCTACGATTCTGTAATTCGAATTCAAGCAGGTGTCCGCATTTGCAAATTATTAAATTGGTAATAACGTTTCGTCGAATAAGTGAAGTGAGTTTCAAATTGTAACATAGGAATACAATATCTGAGATATATACTTAGATATATTTCTGTGATATATTTTTATACAAAAAATGGCATTAACAGAATTTCTTCATGACATGACATGAGCGAATACAAATTCGAATTTGGGTTTTTACGGAATCGCCCTCCAGCTGAGAGTACTCTGTGCTGTTATAAGGCAGGGTTGCCAGACGTACGAGAAATCTCGTACCGTTACGAGATTTACAGTTTATGTACGAGATACAAGAATAACAAAATTCTCGTACACTTTTGTACGAGATTTTAACAATGAAAAATCCTCAATCAATTATCAATGATAAAATACTTCACACACCACAAAACGATCGACTGGGCGCATCACAAATGCACTACCACATAATATATAAACAAGACAACTTGAGCGGGGAATTCCAGTACAATACATTGATTTATTGTTTTTGTCCTTATTAGACTAGTGTTTGCTTTATTTATCTGTCTCTCTTACTGACAATGAAACATTGGTGTACATTTTTATCGTCTGCTGTTGTTTTTGGTAATCAATAATCTGTTAAAGTTTCTGTATCAAGTATTCAGTTTTACTTACGAAATGAGTAGTGACAGCGAATCATCTGCCACTCCTCCTAAAAAGATTCCCAAGAAGAGAGGATGGACTGCAAAGAAAAAAGGGGAGAAAGTTTTTAAACGTCGAACACAGACATTTCGGGATGAATGGTTACAGAATCTAACATTTAGAGACTGGTTGGAGCCAGACCCAAAATATCCTAAGAAAGCGAAGTGTGCATTCTGTCCAGCAAGTTCCTTGGTTGCTGAAACCACAAACCTTAAATCTAATGCCGAATCGAAAAAAGATTTGAAAAACAAACCTGGTGCATCGGGTCTACAATCCCAAATGTTGACTTCATTTGGTTTCAAGATAGGTGCAATTCCAAAAAACAAACAAAAGGATCGTGCTGAAATTAAACTAGCTGCGTTCTTTGTAGAACACAATATTGCATTTGCTGTCGCTGACCATCTGACGGATTTACCTAAAGGTATTTTTACAGATTCAAAACTAGTCCAAGAAAGCGCACAAAAATTACAGCAATAGTATAAAACGTAATTGGAGAAGGTCAAAAAGCAGACTTAGCGAAGAAATTGAAGACCACAAAGTTTTCCGTGCTTACTGATGAAACTACTGACGTATCAACTATTAAAACGGCATGTGTCCACCACACATGCCGTTTTCGCTATTTTCTATCGCTATTTTGACAATGATGCTTAGAAAATCTGCAGCGCGTTTTGGGAACTATATAAAATTTTCAAAGAGACAGAAGAAAATATATACAGAGCGCTAATAGATTCATTTCAAAATCGCGACATCCCACTTACAAATATGATTAAATATACCAAGAAATACTTCTGCGTTACCTAAAACGAAAGTATGTCATGCAGCCGAATATAACTCGAGTAGATCCTTGATATTAACGATTCATATTAAATGACACTGCAATGTATCTAGGCGTTAAAGTGTATGAAATCTTAAAACACCCTGACATAGTCAGGCAGCCTCGAAAGAAAGTGTGGCGACTGATACATAGCGACATCTAATTCATCGCAGTAACATCGCCACAACAATCGATAGCGAGAAGACTAGCATCGTCACAGCCATCGAGAGCAAGACGAACTGCAATAAGTTTCAACAGCAAGTAACGAGATGGCGCTGTACCAATACAAGCAGCATAAACGACGCTTCCTGGATCCTTGGTACATCACGACGGCATCATCCCGACCTGGTCCTCGCAGCCCACGACCGGACCTCAGTTCACACACAACTCACCGACGTGATCTTCAACCGACGTGATCCTTAAACGACACGACATCGAAGACTCGAAGAACTACGTGATCCTGTTTCGAAACGCATTTTTCTCCTGCAAGAAAAACTTTCACAAGATGGCAAACACGGAAGCAAACCCACCGTCGCCGTCCACATCAAACGAAATCTCCAGCGTCGCACTCCCACTCCGCATACCACCATTCTGGCGCGATAAACCACGATTGTGGTTCGCCGTTTTTGAAGCTGTAGAGCTTCATAAAAACGAATCCCAGAAGGCGCAGATGGTCATCGCCCAGCTAAATAAGGAAGATGTCGAGCAAATCTGCGACCTACTTTACGCAACACCGTCTGAGGGCTATTACACAGTCGTTAAAGAAAAACTCATATCTGCATACGAGGAATCCGACAGCAAGCAGCTACATAGGTTACTCTCCGATATGGAACTCGGTGACCAGAGGCCGAGCCAGTTGCTTCGTCGTATGAAAACGCTTACTACAGGAAAAATCCCCGACAAAACGCTACAGCTAATGTGGATGAATCATCTACCACCACACGTACGCTCGATACTCATCGTAAGCGACACATTGGCTAAAGATACCGTACTCGACGATATCGCCAAACTCGCGGACAAGATGGTAGAACAATACGAAACTTCGTCGGTATCATCTATCACTACGCCGATAGCAAACAAGAAAGATGGACCGCGGTCCCCGGGCAAACTACACCTAGCTCGGAGAGAGACAATTATCCTTTAGTCTCCCTGGCCAGTTGTCTCCATCATCAAGTAGGAACCAACACCTTCAACCATAAGATTCCTAAAAACCAATGTTCTTCACAAGCTGCAATAATTTTCTCAGGACTGATGTGTTAGAAATAAAAAAACGATGCCACATGGCAGATCTCGTCCTGTCCAAACTCCAGGCTTTGGGACCAGTACCAGCTCTATCCAACGATTTTAGAGAACGCGTCCCAACATTGATACCGCTGATGGAAGTCGTGCCACGCATTATTGCATCGTTTGATGACATCAAAAACAGCAGATAGATGATCAGTGGAGAAGATTACCGTTTGCTAAAGCCCGCCACACTGCAGAGCTTAAAGATACCACAGAGCCTGATGAGTTTTGCGCAATATTGCTCAAAACAGAAGTTTTGAACTTTACCTTTGCAGTTTTGTCTCTGCCCCATGCAAATGCAGACTGTGAACGGATTTTTAGCAAGATGAATTTGATAAAACCGCCTCATCACAGAAACTGTTAATGGCACACTTTTAGCAGCCTAAAGTGCCAAAGGCCCGAATCGCAGGGGTAATTGCATAAATTTCGAGCCATCGAAGGAATGTCATCTGAAAAGCTATACTGTAAAAACAACAAAGATGACTTTTCAAATATCCCTGATATCGAATTTAATTAGGTACCTAAAGAGTATGGTTAAAATTACATCAAGATTGATTGAGATGTCGATTAAAATTTTAAATACTGTTGTGTAAGAATAATTTTGTTTAATTGCAGCTAATTACAACATTAATCGCTATTAGTTCTATTTCATTTGAATTGACAGCTAGAAAGGCAAATAATATAACTATTCGGAGTTAAAAATTACAATAAATTATTATATATTTTTTATTTGATTCGTACGAGATTTGCCGTTAAAAGTTCGAGATATTCAGCAACACTGGTACGAGAAAAAAAAGCCGCCGTCTGGCAACCCGTCTTGTATGGTGATTGGTGACAAAGTGTATTAAATTCATTTAGAAATAGTTGTAAATATGATGTTAATTATTTAGTGTTTTATATCAAACAAGTCTTAAGTAACCTAAACGATTCAGATAAAACTATACATTTTATGTGGGTACCTTCGCATAGTGGCATTACAGGAAACGTAAAGGCTGATGAAATAGCACGATCCACACCCAATGAAGACCATTCACAATCAATGAAGATTCCTTTTACTGACTTTAAGGCTGTTGTTAATCAAAACTTGGCGATGCTCTGGAAAAACCAATGGGAGTTAATTAGCAAAGAGAAAGGTCAATGGTACAAAAAGGTCCAAGGAAGCCCGCCCGCCCAACCTTGGTGGTACAATAAATCAATACAGAGTAGAAAGTTCATAACTACTATAAACAGATTGAGATTTGGTCATGGTCAGTTTCGCACTCACCTGCATAGATTGAAGATGGCAGATGATCCAAAATGCCCTGATTGTAAAGAAAATGAAGATCTGCAACATATCATATTCAAATGTAAACGGTTTGGACTACATCGCTTGGTACTTGTTAGCGAACTTGAAGCAATCACCAAGAACATACCATCAACGCTGGATGAATTATTAAAAGACTACAAATACTTTAAACCGTTATTCAAGTTTGTTGTCAACACTGTCAAAAATATCTGAGTGAGAAGAAAGAACAATGAACGAATTTTGTCTTGTATTCTGTCAAAAAACTATGTAAGGCTTAAAAGGACTAGTATCCAGAGCCGTAAACACTAATAAATAAAAAAAAAAAGGTGATTGGTGATGCTTTTTAAGTTTCTAAAATCGTCATTTAAAATTATTTCTCATAATAACACTTTACAAAGAAGTCTTTTATATACTTTTAACAAACTCCATAATATGAAGGTGAATAATACATTCATTTTATAAACTTATTCAATGATATTGAAAATAACCTCATAATTAGGTGTTTGTAATCGGGACTTATTTCTACATTTTATTTCAGATCGGTACTCACGACGGAGTATTTCATTGCGACGAAGTACTAGCATGTTTTATGCTAAAGCAATTGCCAGAGTTTAAAGACGCCGAAATTGTGCGTACCCGAGACAACAGAAAGCTTGACGAGTGTGACATAGTGGTGGACGTTGGTAGTGTATTTGACCATGACAAAAAAAGATATGATCACCATCAAAGGGAGTTTACTGATACATTATATTCGTTGAGACCGGAGTTAGGCGATAAATATAAAATAAAGCAAGTTTCAGTTCTTTTTATTAAAGAAAATCAATACTATAATAATGATTTCAATGCACCAAAAGGTAAGAAATGGCAAAATCAAGTATTATTAATTCATCGGTTTATTCTTTCAGGCTGAGCTCTGCTGGATTGATATACACTTATTATGGTGAAAAGGTATTACAGCAACTTGCCCCAAAAGAAGTTCCACTGTCAGCTGAAGATCTAAGAACAATTTATAAAAAGGTTTATGAAAACTTTATAGAAGAAATTGATGCAATTGACAATGGTGTACCAATGACAGATGAAGAACCTAGATATAAGATACGAACACATCTTAGTGTAAGAGTTGGCCGACTGAATCCAGAATGGAATACAAACCAGATTATTAATATAGATGAAGTATTTGAGAAAGCAATGAAATTAGTAAGTGAAGAGTTTCTGTACCTAGTGAATTATTTTATATCAGTCTGGCTTCCTGCACGTGATTATGTCAAATCATCTTTGGAAAATAGATTTCAAGTCCATAAGTCAGGAAATATTTTAGTGTTCAATGAGAGATTTCCTTGGAAAGAACATCTGTTTGATTTAGAAACTGAAATGGGTATTGTTAATGAGACTAAGTATGTTTTGTTTCAAGACAAACCTAAATCCTGGAGAGTACAGTGTGTTCCAGTGAACCCAACAAGTTTCATAACTAGGTAATAATATAATTGCTTTACTATTACTCAAACATATGTATTCAACTATGTACATATTATATAGTTCTTAGGAGCTTGTTTCATAATGCAACTTAATATAAAAAAACTACTAAAATTTAGTTATTTGACAAAATAAATCCAAAAGGATCTAAAATCTTAACTATGATATCATCATGTAATTGAGTACATATGGCACTTATACAAAAAGAACCATGTCCAATTTTGAACTAAAAATTTACTAACGTGTCGAATGATGTGACATATTTCAAAATATAGCTTATTTTTTATTTCAAAGTCAAGTCAAAGTCAAAATAATCTTTATTCAAATAGACTTCTTAAAAGTACTTTTGAATCGTCCAACATTTTTTCCCTACCACTCGTTCAGGACGTCTTTTGGCTGATAAGAAGAACGAGCAAGAAACTCACCAGCTCTAATATGAGTAATGACATTTACAAAAACCATGTCATTACCAGATCAATACATTATAAACAGAGATAAAAAAAAAAACTATGGTCTTATAATAATAACATAATCATTTAATAATAATGGAAACAAGATAATGAGTTTAGAAGTAATCACCTATCCAGTTGCTGGATCATCTCAAGTCCAAGCGTTCTTATCTGTTACATAATCGGATACCTTATAATAAGCTTTTTTAATAAGTATTTTTTTAATAGTAGATTTAAACTGCATGATATCTAATTGTTGTATTTTGCTTGGGACCTTATTGTAGAAGCGCACACAAAGACCCTTGAAAGAGTTATTAACTTTTTGCAGTCTAGTGACAGGCACCGTTAATTTATTTTTATTTCTTGTATTAAAATTGTGTACATCACTTTTTATAGAAAACAAACTAATATTTTTACGAACGTACATTAAGTTCTCGTATATGTATTGAGAAGCAACAGTCATAATGTCTATTTCCTTAAATTTCTCCCTTAAAGAGTCCCTAATCCTAAGATTATAAATTGATCGAATTGCTCTTTTCTGAAGCACAAAAATTGTTTGTATGTCGGCAGCATTTCCCCACAATAGGATACCGTATGACATAACACTATGAAAGTAACTGAAGTATACTAATCTGGCAGTATCTATGTCAGTTAACCTACGTATCTTCATTACGGCATATGCTGCAGAGCTAAGTCTACTCGACAATCTATCAATATGTGGGCCCCACTGTAGTTTAGAATCTAATGTTATTCCTAAAAATACTGTGGTATCCACAAGGCCCATGTTCTTATCTTTTACATTAACATTTATATCTACTTTTTTAACATTAGGTAGTACAAATTTTAAGCATTTTGTTTTTCCTTCATTAAGGAGAAGATTATTTACATTAAACCAATGTACTACTTTAGCGATAGAATTGTTCACATCGTCATTTAGAGGTAACCCTCTTTTAATTTTAAACAAGAGTGAAGTGTCATCCGCAAACAAAACTATTTCGTGATCATCCCTTACGAAATAAGGCAAGTCATTTATGTAAATCAAAAACAAGAAAGGACCAAGTATTGAGCCCTGCGGAACGCCCATCTTAATTTTCGATCCAGGGGATTTATTTCATATCATGAAATTGAATCTTAAAATGAAGTTAGGATAAAAATTGCAAGGCTGATAAGTATTTTCAATAGTACTATGATAACTACCCAGATGTGATTCAGACACTAAAATGATGGTTTACTATACTACCCTGATGCGATTCAGACCCAATGGAACACTAGTATCGCTACTGCATACTTTTTCTAGGTATGGTCCATATCAACATTTCCATACTTAAATATTGATTGGTATTATTACTACTACATTTAACTTTTATATGAGCGTGGTGGCACAACATTAATTTCTATGTTTGTTTTGCATCTCAATTCATTTTATCATAGCTTTAAATTAGAATATGTAACAGTCAAACCAGTGCTACAAAAAATGTAAAAATTGTGATTTTGGGGGAACTTTGTTTTTTTTATTTGTTTTTGTTATAAATTCACGATTTGTTTGGGATTATATATGTATCTTAAATGTGATATAGTTCTCCCATTTTAATTACTACTTATTTAAACTTATTTCTTTGTACAAAATCGATTTACGAAAATTATTCTTACCACCTTATTAGGCGTACGCATTCACAAAAACCTTTCCATTGGATGCCTTTTCCATCAATTAGTTTATAATGCTATAAATTTTGAATTAAATAAAATATATTTTTATGATATCCAATAGTAACATTTAATATCGATCAATTATCGACATGCAATTAACACATATGTGTCCTTGTACTAGCCAATAACGTCGCCGTAGTTACTCCGCCCACCACTCCCCACCGCCAAAATTGGCATAAAAATTGACATCATGCGTTATCTATTGGAGGTTATCTGTGGTCTAGGTCTAGGTGCTAATAAACAGTATTAATTACTATTTCTTTTTTTTTTCAGAAAACCATTACATCCAAAGTGGTGGGGTGTAAGAGATGATGAGTTAAGTGAAGTGTCAGGTATAGACGGTTGTATTTTCTGTCATAGCACTGGATTTATTGGAGGAAACAATACCAAAGAAGGTGCCTTAAAAATGGCTGTAGTTAGCTTAGAAGCTAAAGATCAAAATAAATAAAAAACTTATTACCTATTAAAGTTTTAAATCAATGACTCATGTATAATTTATATTTAAAATATTCCTATTGTCAAAGTCAGAGACTGCTAATCTAGAGTTCATGCATAAAATTATGCAGACACACTAACGACAAACACTAATAATTACGCAATTTACAAATAAGAAAGTAATGTAATGTAATAGGTTGAGGGAAAAAATTTCTTTGCATTTTATATGAAGATTCAAAACATTTTTTTAATAAACTATATTTACATTTAATTATAGTATGTAGGTATGGATTTGTTTGATAACTTTTTGCCATCTTGTAGGTAGAGACATAATCCCATTGCTATAGAAATTTTGGGCTCCTAGACAAAAAACCGCGACATGTGGTTTTGGCAGTCCTAGTGTGACGTTAACCTGACACTGCCTAAAGAATTCTGAAGTGACCGAAACCGGTGGAAATCTGAAGGTGTAAGGTCAGCACTATGGTGCGCATGCATTAACACGATCAAGTCAAACTCTTAATTTTTGCTCAGTGGCCAAAGATGTGTAAGGTCTAGCGTTAGCATGATAAAGAAAACACATCCTTTCTATTATTGATTAATTCTGGCAGCTTTCTCTCAATTTCTCGCTTTAATCTCACCAGTTGTTCATAGAAGAGTTCAGAATCGATTGTCCTGCGTGACGATAACGGCTCCTAATGAATAATGCTCTTCCAATCCCACCATACACACAGCATCGCTATAGTGCGAGTTAACCCGGGTGTCGCCAGTCTGAAGTCTGACCGATTTTGACTAAGGCGACCTTTTTCGTACGTGATAGGCTTTCCATCACCAATTATCAGCTTCAAAAATGGTTCGGTTTCATTACGCCGTAATAAAGAATCATAAATGAGGAAGATTCAAAAGTGCTCGTAACAAGCTTACTTGAATAAAAATATTTTCATTTCATATCAGTACATAGTTCATTAGGTTTAATTCAGTGAGGTACCCGAATATCCAACCTTATTTTATATCCAGTTTCTTTCAAGTGCGCCAAAACTGTTTGTCAATCCTCAGTTCTTATGTCACTCTTGCTCCACTTTTTTAAAAATGATATCGTTTTTTAGTAGGTATCATCGCCATCTTTCATTCATTTCATTTTCATTTTACATGTAAAAATTAATTTATTTACTTGACATTGGCAGAATTGTGCGAAATGCGCAGATAAGCCATTAATTAAAAAAGAAGAAGAAGAAAAATGATATCCTTGTCATCCGTAGCGGGGCAACCGGAGCGACGTGCAAAAAAATTCCAGCTTGCGTTAAATTTTTACGTATTTGTAATGAAGTTTTAAAATGTATCGATTTTTTTCAATAGATTCACTCATTTTGACAGTAAGAAAAACAAATGTAAATCATAAATTTTCCTAATTTGGATTCGGAGTTGCCTTCTTTTTAATGATACCGAAACCAGCAGAGATGTGACTTATCTTAGATACAAGTATTTGAAATACAGATACAAGATACAAAATACGTATTTTCATCTTGTATCTAAAACACTTTTTTAGGAAGTATTTTGTATCTTGTATTTAAATACTTTTGTTTAGTATCTTAGTATCTTTTAAATACTTTTTCTGATAAAATACTTTATAAAAAGATTATTTCTTACATTTTATAAATATCACAAAACATTCTTTGCCTAAAACATACATATTTACAAAAAGAAAGTGTTCAATTATCAACGCAATGATTATTTAGTTAAAAATAACTCGAATCCAAACATTGTTGGTGTCATTTAATAAGTAAATGCGTAGAACTGAACGTACGGTTATACCGGTGTAATACACCCTCCCTAGTAAAAATTGATAGATGGCTTGTAACTGGTTATTCGATGTCAAGCCCTATGACATCGAATAACCAGTTACAAGCAATAAAAAATCTTGATTTATGTAAAACCCGGTTATATGCTATAAAAAAACTCAGTATATCAATTAAACTCATTATTAAATTTTATTATTTTTTTGCACATTATACTTTTTCCACTAACAACAGCATTCAATAAGTTTATTTTTAAAGAAATTTCTCTGTGAAATTCGATACATGGCAAATGCTTGAAATTATATCCCGTGAGCAAAGCAATATTGCCTTTATTGACTCAACAGTTAATCTTTTTCTATCTTTTGACCACTCCATATTCATGAGCGAAAAAAAAAATCAATATTCGCATTATGAGGCATAATACAAAAAAATACTGACAAATCTTCAGTAGTTCGGAAACGAGTGCTGTCATTGCATATATTGAAAATAATTACCCACTGCTTTTCAACTAATTCGTCATAAAAATAAATTTGTTAATAGAAAAAAATCTTCAAATAATTTCTTTGACATCGTCAATTAATACTCCTTTATTTTTCAAAAATACAACACAATCTGTGATGTAATCGTATAGTAGATTTTGCTTTAATAAGTAACCATTTAATTCAAGGGATCTTTATTGAGAAACAACAAAAAAATGGGCGGGGTCCTGTCTTAATATTAGGTCTTTACCTATGTAATTGCCGTTCTGCTGTACTAGCCATTTAAAATCAAACTATTTTTTTTTGGCTGATAATTCTAATATCAAATTATTTTTTCTAAAATCGTCATTTGTTCAATAGTAAGTGTTTTGTTTTCAATGCATTTGAATATTTTTCGTCGTCATGGATAAGTTAAAAATTCGAGTAATTATGGAGTATGTGTGCCATCGTGGCAGCAAAGCGGCACGCAACATTACAACGTTTGCAGAGCGAACACTACAAACGAACGCACCACCCGTTATTGGTTTACGAAAAGGTTGCTGTTTGGTGGTCTAACGCGGAATTATTTCATCACAGCTTCTTACCAAACAGGACGAGCATTACTGCAGATTTACTGTGTGTATTGTGAAGAACTGAACACAATGACGGAGAATCTGGCATAACTCCAACCAGGTTTTGTCAATCGTTCGGTTCCACTGCTCCTGCACGACCACGTACGACCTCATACTTCACAATTGGCGGTACCCAAGCTACAAGAGCTGGGGTTTGAAGTTCTCCGTCATCCGCCGTACTTAACAGACCATGCGCCTACAGACTTCTAATTCTTCCAAAATTTGGATAACGTCTTAGCGGGGAAAAAAAAAATTCCCGAGAGGCAGTACAAAATGCCTTTGAAGTATTTGTTGCCTCCCGTCCAGCTGATTTCTTTAAGAAGGCATCATTAAGCTACCAATGCGTTGGCAAAGATGTATTGATTGCATGGGTGATTACTTTGATTAATAGAAATAAGAAAATAAAGCTTCATTTATTTTATTAAAAATGGAAATATCATAGATAAAGACTTAATTAATACTTCAAATCCGGTTGGGACCGGATTTATCCGATCAGATGGTAACTAATGGCGCATTACCAACAGTACCAGCAATACCAACTCTACGTCTTTTTAGGTACATCTACGTATTATAAGCCTTTCCTACAAACCAACGTACTATAATCAACCACAGAAGCTAAGTATTTTCTACTAAAAATTTTCAAATTAGCTTAACACACTAAAGGGGCATAATTTTCGGTAGTTCTGCAAAAAAAGTTAATATACGTTCCGTTACATACTATCGAACATTCACCTCGTCACAAGTCACGCCATTAATTTTAAAAACCAAGTACTGTATTTATTTTTACCCATTCTCTTCATCTCACTAGGAAAAAATGAATTTTCAGTTCTCCGTAATTTTACGTCGTACGTAAAACCAGCTTTTTAAATAAATAATAATTTTATAATAAAATTTAAATAATTATTCTTGTTGTTATATTTCAGCAATTTTCATTCACAATGCTATATTGAAAAAAAATATTATTAAAAAGGAACTAAAAAATTTAAAATAATTTAAACCTGATGTATTAAATATTTGCATTTTTATATGTTACATTGTGATTGACAAACAAATAAAACGGAGGAAAAGTGGGTGAAATTTAGCTTGTAAGATTTGAGTGCAAACACAGAAAACTAAATAAAAGCTTACAAAAATTGTTTCTAATGAAAAATGCTTAAAAAATCCACTTTGTCCCTGGAACCATCTGGTCTAAGATTTAGGTTTTTGTGGTCTTTAATAAACAAACTTAAATTCAAATCTTTTTTCAGAAAAGTATTTGTATTTATAAAAAGTATCTATAAGATACCTATTTTGTATCTAGTATTTCAAATACTTTTCGCGAAAGTATTTTGTATCTGGTATCTGAAATACTTAATTTAAAAGTATTTTGTATCTTGTATTCCAGATACTTTGTACAGGGTATTTTGTACATCTCTGGAAACCAGTCACATACAAATGGAATAGCCAGAAAGATTTTACTAAAAGTTTATGCATACTTTAAACGAAAAGACTTTTCCCCAACCTACAATAAGTATGTTTATGAAACCGACCGTAACTTTTAAAATACTTAGCGGTTATACCTACTTAACGAGGAAGTATAAGTCACATCATCATCAACAGCTCTTTTACGTCCCCACTGCAGGGGCTCAGTATAAGTATAAATCAATATAATTAGCATAGCTTACCGTAGTTAAAGTGCTTCATTTTCTGTGTTCTTTTAAATTTTTTTTCTAATTTAAAATGCCCGATAGAAAAAAATCACAGTATCTAAATAGGTTTTTTGGATCGATTTTATAACAAAAGTATTTCTACTTAACTATATATAAGACATATACAAAAATAGGTTTTGATATAATCTAAGGTACACAATTTTTATTTTACAACTGCATTTCTTGATTTTTTTCCAACCGTGGGAGAGCCACGCTTCGGCATGAATGGGCCGGCTCGACCGGAGTGATACCACGGCCTCACAGAAAACCGACGTGAAGCAACGCTTGCGTTGTGTTTCGTCGTGTGAGTGAGTACCGGAGGCCCAACCCCTCCCTATTCCCTTCCCTCTACCCCTCAACCCTTCCCTCCCTATGATCATATTCGTCCCTCAAAGGCCGGCAGCGCGCTTGTAGCCCCTCTGGTGTTGCAGGTGTCCATGGGCGACGGTAATCACTTACCATCAGGTAATCCGTCTGCTCGTTTGCCCCTATCCCATAAAAAAAAATTAAATGGTGTCCAATGAAGTTTCACCGCCTTTTTTCCCGTTGGGAAGGTGGTTCTGAAACCTTAAGGTTGAGAGCAAAAACAAAATTAAATATAGTCAACATTCTAAAATTATATACTTTGTATACCTTTACTGGTCACCAAAAGGAATAAAATGAAGAAAAATAATTGAAAAACACGACTCCCAAACTCAAACTTAAAAGAAACAAGTTGTATAATGTAATGACCAGAGGTCGGAATTAGGTAGAGTTATTTATGTACTTGCATCGAAATGTTGATATTAATGTGGACCTTCCCGGGATTTCTAATGGACAATCCCGTGTGACCAACAATCTTACAACTAAATAATAATAACAACGTCAGAGATAGACAACTAAAACAAAGATAATATTAACATAAAATTTTTATTAGTTTACATTAATTTACAATACAAATTATTTATAGTCTTAAACAAATTCTCATACGCATATTTCGCCTTTTTTATAAATACGTGTGAATACTTTTGCTTCTAGCCTAGACTCACAAAAAAAAAAATCTCGGGGTTTGAGGCATATCCACTTTATTCTTTCGCTGTATGAAATCAGTGTAAGTACATGAATAACTCTACCTAATTCCGACCACTGGTAATGACTGAGAAAATTCTCATTGCAGTTGGGGGGACCTTTTAGATTACAAATGTTTCACATAACGTTTCCGGTCCCTGGTCATATTATTAATTTTTAATGAGGAAGTTTTAAAAAAAACAGATTATTTCCCGAAATCTAACTAGATGTCGCCACGGTACGTTCGTGATTTCTCCATAACAACCTTTCCGGTTTTCTTTTGTGTTTAAGAGTAAATTAGTTTTCAATACTCAATAAACAAGTCATATTCTATTTGTACTTTTTCGTATTTGTATTGATATCACAGTTTAGAACTTATGAAATTTCAGTTTTTTAATATTTTAGTTAAAAAGAACGGAAATGACTGTCTTTGGTCCATTCGTTCTTTTGCAAGAGTAGCCATCTAGTGTAGGTACTTTTTTAGTACTTTCGTTTTTTTTTAAATACTTCCTAGATTGTTCCTATATTGAGCAGCATAGTGAAATACGGCTTTTAAAGGTACTCTTTGGTTTATAGACTACAGATTTGCTTATAACCCTTTATTCAATCTTCTCTATGCTTATAACCTTACCAGTAAGTTAACAAGTTGCAACCATGTCGCAACACTATTGAAATCTATGATACGTAGTATCTCTTATTAGTCTGTGGTTCGTAGTTTTCCTTTTCCGGTTCTGCATCAAAGCTGTAACCATGCCGGTGTGTAATTTTATTTATTTTCGTCACATTTTAACAGTTTCTTTAAATGTGTTAAATATTTGTGGTCGCCAAGTACTTCTATTATCGCTTCTAGCTCAATTTATTTCGCTATGTCCAAGTCAAGTCGAAACTACGCGTCGAACTAGATACTACACATGGCAGTTTTGGGCATGTCAGAGCTTACTCGTGAAACGAATATCTACAGTGAACTCTCCTTGTCTCTTTTGATTATCCAAAAACTCGTATTGCTTTTCTTTCAAAGAAATCTCCCATTACAGTGCCTGACTTTTTGTGACAACAATTGTGAAATCTAACCTTAGCACGTTGATTTTCAGCTCGCAATTGATTTACTTCATCCTTCTCCCGCGTCGGAGAAGAGGAAACATAAACTGAAAAGGCTGGTGCCGCATCCTAATTCATATTTTATGGATGTCAAATGCCCCGGCTGCTACAAAATCACAACGGTATTCAGTCATGCACAGAGGGTAGTCGTATGCGCAGGATGCTCTACAATTCTCTGCCAGCCTACTGGAGGTCGTGCTAGATTAACTGAAGGTGAGATTAAATACTATTCCTATAATTAGTGTCTTACCATATTGTTGCAGCTAAGTTAACTTAAGACCTTTGTAAAATTTAGTCACTATAATGGAGTCTTTATTCTGTTATGATTCTTATAGACAAACATACAATTCATCATAGACAACATTTGATAAGATCAGTGTGTAAACTGAGCTATGTTGATTTAGGAGAATCAAGATATTTGATAAGGTTACTAACTTATATCTTAATTGTCCTAATTCAATATATAAATGATATTAAAAGAATTTGTTGTTGTTAGTTTCACAATAGTTATGAAACTAATTTGTATTTACTTCTTATTGATAAATATTGCACCATATTTTGATCAAGTCATGGGTATTTCATAATATTATAATTTAGATAAATTATTTCAATATAATTTAGATCATATAAAATAAACAAGTTCATATTTTAACTATTTCTGAAACCTCAAAAGTTATTTTGAAAGTCTTAGAGTATTTAGTTATTTCTTGCCAATGATGAGTAGCTTTAAAAGACTGCAATATCAAGTGAAATTTTATCAGCAATTTAATGATTTCTTCATTTTCTTTTTCTCAGGATGTTCATTTAGGAGAAAACAACATTAATTTCCTGGAGAGAGAGCCCTATCTATAATTTAAGATTTGCATTTTGTTTCCGAGAGAATGAGGGGAGTGATATTTTATAAATACATTACCTAATGGATCTATTGAAGCATTATTAATAAAGGCTTTTTCAAAGGGATGGTTGGTTTCATTTAAACAATAATTTCCTATGGGAAATACACATGGTGTTTAAATAAAACTGAAATATTTTATGTAAATATCAGTCAACTATAGGATATATTTTAAAATACAAATCATTTATATTGATACTAACAATATATGAATGATACATAATACTTAAAACTGTTATTAATATTAAAACGAGTACCAAAATATTTTGATTGAATTTACTTCCTGTCATGAAAGTATATGTAACATCCATTTTCTCAATTTCTGTTTAAAACACAATGACTTAAAAACATTTCATATTAGTTTAATTGACAGGCAGGTGCAGACTCAATTTATTATAATTCATTTCAATAAAATTATAAATGATACAACTTGAGCAGGTAACTAATAAATTAATATTAAGAAAATAAAAATTACCAAATGGTAGTTTCTCATGCCTGTAATTTTTGTAACATATTTGTATTTTAAAAATGTTTGCCAACTCAAAATGTTTTTTAAGTAGTTAAGGTAAATAAATGATCACCTAAAAAGTTATGTATTTTGATTAAAAATAAAAAAAATCAGGTAACAATTGAGTCCATAATCCATTACAAAGTCTTTTAGAGTGCAACAGGAATCACTGATACATTTTTCTCCCAATTTTACTATATCATATATAATACTTCAATACCCACAAATATGTAATTGAATTTTAATAAATAATATTTATATGTACTTGTCAATAATATTAGCAAATAACCAAAGGATGTATGACATTCCGATTCAAGGGAATATATGAAAGGCTTGGAATGTGTCAATAGAATAATATTGTTTATCATTATTTTTATTAGGACTTGCTAAAGAAATTGTGTGTAGCTAGCTTTTTAGCTTCTTCTTTTTCTAGTTTTGTTTCTGCATTCGCTATGTCAATTTTAATTGCCTGTATTAAGTCATCCAGAGAATTAAAATTCTTTTCTCCTCTTAAATATCCAATTATTGCTATTTTCAAATTAGAGCCATAGAAATCTTTGTCGAACTTGTGCATGATGTGGGTTTCCTGAAATAAAATGAATGAAATTAATTATCACTAGTTTTGTAATGAAAGAAAATTATGAATATATAGAATCCATAGCCTAAAGCAAAGTCGTTTCTAACTGAGATCTTTTGAAATACTCAGCAGATTTTTAAGGGGCTATATACAGAGCGAGTGTGAGTAACACAGACTCTATATGTAAGTTTTATGTTTATGATACAGGACCATACCAACAAAACCGCTAGCAGAAAGCTAGTTATTTATAAATCAATAATATAATGTATCATGTTTATTTCAATAGTAGAAAACAAACTAGGTATTGTATCAGTCATAATCTTTTTTTTCTACTTTATCTCCTGACTTGAGCAAAGAAAAAAAAGCCCTAGATATAAAATATCAAATTACAAATTTTTCCTCATGTAATCATAAAATTTTATTAATTAATGATTAATAATCTGTCTTGTTAGATAACAAAGAGATTTAGGTAAGATTGTAATAATTCCAGTAAGATTATTAACCAGCTCTTCTTGCAATTTGACAGTGATATATTTTTTCCTCATGGGTTATACACCACATATTTATGAAAAAAAAATCACAATGAAATAATAAAATTGATTATTGAATATGTGTTATCATTCTTAAATTTAGTCCAATAATAGTATACAAAACTATTGTATATAGTATTGTCTAAAATCAATATATCATAAGTAGCAATGCAAAAAATGTTAATTAGACATACATATTTAGTCTTTGTTCTCTGCTGTTAATTAAAATAAAGAGAACAACATGAATACAGTATAATATAAGGCAAAACATTAATTTAGAAAAAATATTATTAATAAAATTTTAGAAAATGAAATCAATTTACATTACTATGAATATAGCAACGTAAATCAAAGTTATTTTGATGTTGAAGGCTTCATATTCTCTAACAATGTCACCAGACAATATAAGTTTTTCTTATTCTCACATAAAATTTGTGCCAAAAAGATCATAATCTGGCTATGCTTATAACTTTAAATTTTTGCAAATATATACGTGGAACTGCAATATAATAGTACAAAACATAAACTAACCACAGACATTTCCTGATTTTTATAAAAGGGACACCACCCAATATTAGCCACCATCTTATGTATAGGTCCTTTATCTACTTGGGCCCATCCATAATACACTCCAGGCTCTAACCCAGTGGGTAGTGACTGTACCACATTGAGAGGATAGTTAGCTGTAAAATAAACAAAGATTAGTTTGAGAAAAAATATATAACTACAAGTTCACCTGTATTTTTTATATATTTGTCAATAAGAGATTCAACAGCTTTTCTCTAAAAAATAATTGTTCCTTTACCTTCTGTTTTATTTAAAGGAAAGTATAAACAAGGTGCCACAGCTTATAAATTACGAAAGTACTTGTGTTAGTACATTTACACTATAAATTTGTAATGTATCCTTGAGATGAAAATTATATTAACTTACATAGGTACTTATGAAATATTTACAGTCCCCTTGATATTTGTCTACTTGGATAAGTAAACTATAAATTAAGGTTACGTTTATTGTTGTGTACTGGAGTGTATAGACACATATAGAAGACAAAAGCCTTGACTAGAGTAATAATAAAAATTATAATAATTATCTGATTAATTATAGTATCAAATTATTAAAAAATGGCTATTTTAAATAGCGAAATATCAATATTTTTACTTATACACACGGCTGCATATCAGGCTACCACAATATGTTATATTTCAGCATTGGGTTTTTATATCTAGACTCAATGAATTAAGGTTTAAAATAGAGTGGGAAAATTTGACAGTTTTGTATAACCTGACGAGCTGTTTACTGTACCTAACTTTCCGATTAGCTTCATTGAATTTTAAAATAGGCGGATACCTGTCGGGCAACCTAGCTGTTTCGATCCTCTTCCAAACCCTTTCACAACCTGGCCTTCCAAAAACAGAGGTAAAAACGCAGATGTCATAGCCATTAAATTTTTGGTAATTTACTAAGCTTATCTCAACCGATGGAACTCTTCCATTCCCCTCCACACGTGAAACTGTGCGCCGTGCATTACATGCTTAACTTTTATAACAATCACGATTATATAGAACGCGAAGAGTAAACTATAAGTAATTTATGAATTTTTAATTTGATATGAACCTCAGAAAATCAGGTTATCAAAGCTGTCAAATTCCTGCAATCATTTAAAAACTTTATTTCAAAAGAAATAAGATATCTATATCTTTGTAGAATTTGACATTTGTAAGTTTTTTTTTTGTTTTTCTTTAGTAGAAGGAAAAAGATCCACACAGCCTATTTATTTTAACGAAAAGAATTCTCCATATTGCTATACACGGTGGAACAGAACGACCGACACTCCCGAGGTTCCTGGAGAATACTATTTGTCAATAATATGATGTAAAAAAAATATATGTCTAGGTATAATAGTTTCGGAGATATTAAATTACAAAGATTTTGGAAAATAATAAGTGTTTTCAACCCTTAGTCAGCTGTTATTGGGACGTACTAAGGAACAAGTTTAAATCGGTCATTGACTTCTTAATTTCTAAAAACAAAATAAACTGCTATTTTGATCTATTTAACGGTTTTTTAATAATTTCTAATCGGTGGCGTAGCTACTAAGGGGCTAGGCGGGGCAGTGCCCCGGGGCCCTCAAGCTCAGGGGGCCCTCGAATCTTTACCAGAAAATCTCAATCGAACTCAACTTTTGAAAATTTCTCCCATTTTCAAAATAAATATGACAGGTGACAACTCGAGTTTAATCATGGCAACTCAGTTGTGAGAAATTCTAAAGTTATTAAAAGGGAATTCCCCTAAATTATTTGTGTGGGTTGACAGTGTTATTAATGTTTTCATCAATTTGTCGGATATCAATATCTGCATATTATTATTTATCGATATGCGTTTTTTGTGATTCACGATTGTGAACTTCGAGTCAAGATTTTTTTCGAGAATGGTTAAAAAGTTAATGTATCAGGAGTAAGTAAGCGTATGTCAATAAATTTTTTGTACTGGTCCATACAAAAGTTCAATTTTATTTGATTATAGTACGAATACATAGTTACGTTAAGAAATCGATAGATTTCGGCTACTCACTATATAACTCAAAATACCGTGCAAAATACAAGTCACATGCGATAAGTAATTAATTTATGTTCAAACATAAATAAATTAGAAAACAGGACAAAAAACCCAGTGGTGCATTTAAACGCAAACAATGCCAAGAAAGAGAAGAAAGTGAACAAACATTGCCCAAAATTGACAAGTATTTTAGATATTTTTTGTAAATAGCTTGCATGGCGATAGGTTAAATAACAGTAAGCTGGTGCAACGTATCTATGAATAAATAAATATATAATAAACCCTTGAATCTTTTCTATTTCGTTTAATTGCCCAATACCTACAACAAGTATCAAAATAATTGTAATTTATGTTGTTAGTGTTTAATAGTTTTATTACCTGCCCATGCACGAAAAAGAGTTAAAGATAAAGTTGCTTAGCATTTTTAAAGTATTTGTATATTTAATGGTTTTACTTTAAAAAATCTTACCAATTTTGATAGCAGTGGGCCCCATTTTTTTTATTTGCCCCAAGGCCCTAGGTTACCTAGCTACGCCACTGTTTCTAATTGACAATCACTAAACGAATCAGTCAAATGCTCAAAATAATTAATAGACTAACATTTAATAAATCATTGTTAAAACATTATTCTAACGTTAAATAAGTTACATTACTACATTACTTCAAATAGTCGGAGTTTTCAAAAAAAAATTAACTTAATGGATCAAATAACAGGATCGTTTATTAAAGTAGTTAGTTTAGTTTAATTAAGTTGAAAATGCCTTTAGAAGCAAGAGATTATTTGAAAATTGTGTTATTATACGCAGAGTGTGGCTATAACGCAAGGGCAGCTTTACGTTTGTAACGGGAGCGCTTACCTCCAATACACTCTACAAACCTTCGCGTTATTGCAAGTGCACTTTATAGGCTAAGAGAAAATCGTCCAGTCGTCCCACGTACTTCCATGGATGACCAGCGAGGCGGCCGATCTAGGCGTGTACTTGTTCAACCGGCTCCAGCTCATTCTGTGGTGAAGGTGCGCGAGGTACTAAACGAAATGTTTGAAGACCAATGGATCGGCCAGTACGGACCACATCGCTGGCCAGCACACTCACCTGACCTCACGCCTCTGGATTTTTTTTATGGGGCACTTTAAAAGATTGCGTTTATCACGATGAATGCGAAACTCGTGGTGAAATGGTGAACCGCCTGGTGGGAGCATTTGAAGAACTCCGCCGGCAAATTTTGGAAAATTATGTGATTTCGCGCGTACTCCGGCATACAAAAGAGCATGCTTCGCTCTATCTACAGAGAAGAGGTGGACATTTTGAGCATCGAATCTAGGTAAGTAATTAAATTAATACTAATAATTATCATTAAACTTAGTTCTTATTAAATGGCCGGTTGTAATCTGCACACATCTACATTACGTGTAGGCATAGTATAACTCTGTGTACGCTAACGCGTAAGCGTGTATGCGTTAAAGGACTGTCAACACTTACAGCCTTACTTATAAAAATTCATTAAACTATGGTTATTCAATAGTTATACTCGGTATATGCTCATAATAACGGAAGAATATCTTTTGACTTATAAACTTGGTATATCTTCGGCGTAAGTATTCCACCCTTATGTTCGATGCACGTAGCGGCAACGCCGCATTTTATAGACAAAAACGAAAAAAAGAAAGTATTTTGTCTGTTGAAGTGTCAAATATCACTGAGTTTAATGCAAGTTTAACGTTTGGTTGATTGATGTTACATGTGGTTATTCCTTGAACAAGACGCGGGTGATTTTGTGCAAGTTATTGTAAATTATTAATTCAATTATAAACTAATATAAATAATTTGAATTTGAATTTAATATCAAAATAACAAGTAAAAGTAGTATCTCAGCGTTATCAGTATCTGCAATATAGCTCACTGCCAAATAAACGTTCTAACAATAAGACGCCGTCTTTGGAAAAACGATATTTTATACGAAATTCGTCGTCATTGTATAAAAGGAAGGGATCGTTTCTAGTTCTAAATATTTTAGATTTTCTTCTCGTCCTAAACATTTGCGATCGATTGATCAAATTATTAATTTCTTCCACTTTTTGTATTGTCTAAACGCCATATTTCAATAAACACACGTTTCAATATTATTAAAAATTATCTAATACGGTAAATATTTGGTAAATATCAATAAAGCATCAACAATATCAAAATGTCATTTGACAAATGCGTTGCTACACCAGAGTTATACTAGGGTGACGGGCGGAATATCGGTGGAATAAGTTTTGTTAGAACGTTACATCCAGGTTATGCTAAGCATAAGTTACACCGAGTTTATAAGTTGACATTTTGCGTATTCTGCACTAATTCTCGGTATAACATTTTATACCACGTTTATAAGTAGCGCTGTTAGATTTTATTTTTTTCAACACCAGTTTTTCGTCTTATCTATTTTTAAATATTTGTTAAATAAAATGAACATTTAGATGCTACCTAACTTTAAACTTTCAGCTGTGTCGGTCGTTTTGGGGCTCCCTGTAGAGATATATATAAATACTTGTTTCGATAATATGGTTCGAACCCGCGAAGCATTACTAGAGTTTGGCAAGCGAAACGTGACACCACCTATTTTTCCGTTTTCATATGGCAACAACATAGAACTGTCAGTTTGACACTACGTTAGACAATTCAAGAATATTGAATTTTGTTGTTTTTGCGAATTTGAACTTGTGTTTTTGGTTAAAAATTATGTCGAAGCCGATAAAAAGTTCATCGAGGAAACTTCTTTCCATCATGATTGACAAGTTTACTGAAGTGAAAACTGAATTAAATAAAAATTTCATGGAGAAATTACAACGATTAGATAAAGTTGTATCTTTTTTAGGTTAGTTTTGTATTATAATTTTGATACTTTCGTTTTAATTTTCTGTAATTAACTAAACAGATATTTTTTATAAAATATTGCTCTATTTCAGATAACTGTGATGGTGATATTCAACCAATAATGGAGGAGATAAATGCAATAAAAACTTTAGAAAAACAAGAAATGCTGAATTCGGAAACGCAGTACTTACAAAAAATTTCTTCAATGACAGGTCTCTTTTCTTGTTTTGATTTAAGATAGATTGATAGTATTCCTATAATATTTACATAGGTTTTTTATGATGTATTGGTTTTTATTGTTGACATCCAATGATGTCATAAGAATGTTTTGTTTAACAAGGAAATTCACAGAATTCATGAAACTAATCAAACCATGTAATTGTTATACATGCTAAATATGCACATAAACTTAACTAAATTAAACATAAATTGCATTCATAGTTGAATAGGTATTTAAATTATTTTGATGTATGTGTCTATCATTATTTGCTTTTAAATACATTTAACATATCTTTGTTTCAAAGTGTTTAATCTTTTATAGATGTAAGTATAAGGACACTAAGAAGGATAAAAAATGAAGCATTAATTAATAAAGGAAAATGGGACACTCTTGGGAAAAAACGACCTCATCAACCAACAGTGTCTGCTTTAGATAATTTTGATTTAAGTGCAATTCGGAATAAAGTAAATGAATTTTACTGTGTGAAAAAAATTGTTCCAACATTAAGAAGCCTTCACAATGAATTAAAAGATGCAATAGGATTCAGTGGTAGCCGTGAGACTTTACGAAAAATTATGCTTAAGAATGGATTTTCTTTTAAAAGCAATGAAAATGAACGTTCTATGCTTATAGAAAAATACCAGATTTCTGCATGGAGGCACAAGTATTTGAGAGAAATAAATATAAAACGAAACGAAGGAAAGCAAATTGTGTACCTTGATGAAACTTATGTACATCAGAATTATAAAGTTAAAAAGTCTTGGCAAGGACCTTCAACAACTGGTGTCACTACAAAGATATCCTCTGGAAAACGGCATATTGTTGTGCATGCTGGATCTGAGGAAGGTTTTGTGCCTGGTGCATTATTAGTGTTCAGTAGTAAATCCAAATCTGCTGATTATCATGATGATATGAACTCATCGAACTTTATGAAATGGGTCAGAGAAAAATTAATACCAAATTTAAGTAAGCCCAGTGTAATTGTTATGGATAATGCCAGCTACCATATAAAACAAATCAATAAACCGCCTATAATGTCTAATACCAAAGCAGATATCCGTAAATGGCTTGTAAATAATGGAATACATTTTGAGGAATATCAGACAAAGGCAGAGTTAATGTGTTTGGTTAATGATAAGAAAACATTGCCTGTATATGAAGCTGAAGAGATTTTAAAAGAACATAATCATGAACTTTTATTGCTGCCACCGTATCATTGTGACTTAAACCCAATAGAGATGGTTTGGAGTCAAGCAAAAAGAAAAATTGCAAGCAGAAACATTGGAATACCAGGAAAGGAAATGGAAAACTTAATAATAGAGTGTTTTAACTTAATTACCCCTAGTGACTGGAAGAAATACACTGATCATGTTTTAAATGTCGAAAATGATTACAAATTAAAAGATGGCATTGTTGAAAACGAACTTGAAAAATTTATTATATCTGTTGGTGCAGACAGTAGTGAAGAGAGTGACTCTGATGATTCCTTGTCATTGTTATCAGGTGTAGAATATTTAGAAACAGATTTTGACTATGAATCAGACTAAAGTATTTTTAGTCTGATTCATAGTCAAAATCTTATCTTAAATTTTCTATTGTGATTAACATGATGATTTTGTGACACCTGTATTATGTAATTTATCCATGGCACTTAATTGTAACAAAAATAAATGTTTTTTTTATTGTAATCTGGTGTTTATATTGACTAATTTAATTTGATAGATAGTGGTTCTGGATCAGAGCAAAAGGTTGTGATGAAAATCCCTTAGGAGACATGTATGTGTTATGAACACATTATAAATATAAGGGCCAGAAATCAAAATTGGCTAACATCACATTTATTAAAAAAATGTGGCCAGAGTCGCCCATATTCATTACAAAAAAACAAAGAAGTCGTTGCAAAAAACACCCTTTTAATTAATGACAAATATGAATTTTTAATATTATAAGTGCTGTTAGCCAATAGGTATAACGAATGGGTTAAAAAAAAGATTCGATTTAGTCCGTCAGTCAGATAATAGAAAAATATTGGATACGTATTTTTTTTCGCTTTAATTTAACAACAAATGGCTTAAGAGGTACTATGCGACGACTTCAAATATGCTTTGCAACAATGTTACTTTAATACAGTTTATCGATACGAAATCAAGTGTCAAAATGGAGTCCAGTGGAGAATGCCGATATTGACATTTCGAAATTGCTCATCATTGATAGAGAATACGAAATAGTGATTTTGACACAATCAAAGTGTCTATTTTTTACGGTGATGACGATTCTTGGTTGTCAGTTGAGTTAGTGAATAGGCCTACTGATATGCTGTTAACTGTACAATTAAGAACAGTCACGCTTTAGTCAAATGTTCCAAAACAAATAATTTTAATTGATATCTAAATGTTAAGATTAAATATAATTAATAAAAGTATCAAAATTATTTTGCAGTACTACATTCAGTGTTTACTGCTTAAGAATTTTTGAAATTGCCGCCCTTTTCTTGTGACACGTTTCGCTTGCCAGACTCTATTTTATTTTGTTCCGTGTTATATCGTGCGTGCATGGCACGTCAAACATAAATTTAGTGTAACACAACATAACAGTAGCTAGAGATACGTTTGTGGTTTGCAGCAGTAGAAATACATCCATTTCATCCTCATTTCAGAAACAACACGCGATAGCAACAATAATAATACAAGAATGTGTCACCGTTTTTATACTAAAATTTCTCTATGATTACCCGTTTGTCCTTTTATTTAAGAAGTGATCTGTGGATGTGATGGATTTGTTAATAAATTTTGTCTGTCTACGATATTTTGTGTATAGCTTTTTGATTATTATACTACTCTTTGGCTTTTTGTATCTATGTTTTTGTGGTCTGTGGGGAGAAAGAAAATGACAAATAAAAAATCGTAAATTGAAAATTCTTGTCAAATGTCGTCTTTACTACTAATTTTATTTCTTTTGCAGTTGAAATTTAGTATTTTACACTTTTCATGTGACTATATAATTTAAGTTTTGTGTCAGTACCTAAATACATAACTAAAAATGAAGTAATTAGTGAAATACCAAGCTCTTGAGTTTGTCATACAATAGATTGTATCATAAGCTGTTAACACGGACAATATGACGATAAATACATAAACAGCAATATGACTGAAAAGGGATACGAAGGTAATCAGTCGTCATCTTCGTGGGATATTCCCGGCCCTTCGTCGCTAGCCGCAATTTTGGACACGGTTTATACATCATCAGCCTCTGATAATCCTAGGAGTGGTAATTATTACTTAATATATAACTGCCCATATTTATATAATTAGAGACTACTGAAACTACTGACTTTGTCAATTCTTAAAAAATTACTTATAATGAGGGTACTAAAGATCATGTTTTTCAAGTGCCTATAAACATTGTCTTTTGTTTACTGTGATTTTGTGAATATCAACATACATTGAATACAATAACATTGAATTGTAATAGAATAATTGTACTTTACTGATGCCCAGACAAGAAAATATGCTATTGTTCAAGGTTTCTCAATATTGTTATAGATTTGTTAACAGAATTTAATTTCCTATTTTGACCTTGTACCTGTACAACACCCTTTGGGTAGACAATATAGTACTGAGACCAGACAAATTAGACAATGCCAAAATGTAGAAAACAGTAACTCGACAATGCCTAAACCATATACTATCATTATTACTAAAATAAAACTATGCAATTTAAACATTCTGGTCTGCCTTTTATTCAGTAATGTTATATTTTGGTACTTTGTTATTAAAATTGAAAAGGATTCAAATTATAAGTATGGTTCAAGATTAAGTGGAGAGAAACAAAACCTGCTAACGTTTTGATATGCTGCTGTCTTGTAAAGAGGTATACTTTATATGATTGTTTTAATTCAATTGGATGATAAAAATCCTTTACACTTAATTTTTGCATTCAACCTTAATCATAGCTTTTTTGGTAAATTCTAAAATTATTTATGAAAATTCCATCTCTCAGGACTTCAGATGATAAAATTACAATGATATATTGTTATGTTCAGTTTGTATAATGCAAATTCAGTTTGCAATAACAAAGTAAATGTGCAATAGCAAAAGCTGTGAAACACCATAAACAAGCATATATTTACATCCTTTGATTCAATACTGAAATTTTATTGTAAAATTGCTAACTGAATTGAATGAATTTATTTGCCTTAAATACATAAAAGATGTTAATAAAATAATATAGGGATTAACTCTCTTGCAAAAACTATTTTTAGTACTAAACATAATCATTAATTTGTTTATAATTACAATAATAAATGACATGTAAATGATAAAACTTATCAAATACATATTAAATGTCTTGACATTAGAAAAAACAATACCATGTTAAATATTTCCTAAGTAGGTAGGTATGTTTTGTAGATGTTCCTATAATTTTAGTTAAATAGGTCTATGATCTCTGGTATTATTAGGTAATAATTAATAACACTAGACATATGTTATAACACATTTGATGAATTAGAATCAGGTTGAGAATTAGAATCTTATATAAATATATCTTTATTCAGATTGCTGTTATTTTCTTATTTTTATATTCAACGTTTTTAAATTTGCAGAGGACATGGAGTGTGAAGCACTTTTTGCTGAAAGTGATGATGAAGTTGAAGTATTACCTGTAACATGTGAAACTGCAGATACTGGCAGATGCGAACCAACATCAAAACCAGTATCTTCAAATTATGTGAATTCAACCACACCAACACAACCATATGACTTAAACATATCAGCAATAGCACCACCTGTATCATCACATACACCTGTTCCTGAAGAATATCAACCACTTCCAGATAGTTCCAGCTCTTTAGATTACCTCCAACGAAGTAATTTGCAAAGTGCAAATATTAATGGTCAACAATTTGCTGATGTAAATATCAGATACCAACCTAAACCTGTTCCAATGAACCAACGGGGTTATTTTTATCCAAATTATCCTCACTATGGGGCCAGTGTAAGGCCTGCACATGATTATGTTTTTACACCATATCATTCCAATAATGTCATAGTTCTCAGCGATGATAGAAATTATGTGCGACAACCTATGTACAACACAATAGTACATAATCAGTCTCAAAATGATGAAAATAACACACTGCGAAGAAACTATGATACTTTACAGCCACCTCTCGACAACCACAATTCTACAAGAAGTCACCACACAGATGAAATCCAACAACCCATAAATTTGGAGAGGCCTAGTCGCAAGCTTAACATTTCGCCACGAAGAAGGCAATCAAAAGAAAATGAGCAAAATATGAACTTAATAGAAGTTAGCTCAGAAGAAGAGGACAATGCATCAGTGCCCAGAAAGAAGCAATGTGATAATGGGGCTGGTCATTCAACTTCTAGTGCAAGTGCAGATATACCAGCAAGAGTTAATCCTGTCCCAACAAGGCCAGAGATAATTAAAAGAGAGCCGAACACAAACAGCGAAATGGCATCAAATGAAAGAGAAGAAAATACCAATGGCAATGCAACAATTGAGCATTTCTGTAGCAGGAGAAGAAGTACCAATAACAACCCCAATCATAGGTTTGGACATCACAATTGTACTCAAGGAAATATACAAGTGAAACAGGAAACTCAGAGTTGTGCTTGTTTTAACAGAACTAATGGTGGTTGTGGCAATCATGGTGTTACTTGTCATACACATTCAGTACCAAATGAATGTCGTAGACATGAGTTAAGCCATTGTAATCATCAAAGTGCATCACATCATCATCATCACCATCACCACCACCACCATCATCAATCACACAGGCAATGCAGTCCACTTATCAGTGCAAGCACATCAAACGTTTCTCTAGCTCAAGTAAAGGAGGAACCAGGATCTCAAACAACCAGTACAGCTTGTATTAAACAGGAAGTTGAGTCTTCCCCTGGCCAACCAGAAATACATCCGTCAGTGAAAGCGTCAGAAGAAACTAGAGTAAAAGTAGAACCAGGATCTTCTAATGATACTGGTACAAGTACAGGTCATAATGTTGTGGTCAAATCTGAGGTAGAACATTCTAGCAGATGTTGTGATGTGAATGCCGGAGGAGACCGAAGGCTGAAGAATAGTTCACCTCAACCTGGAACTAGTTCAGGTAGATCAGCACAAACAGAAGCCAGGCCTTCCTTCAATTGTGAACAGGTAATTTTCACAAAAATTGGTTAGTATAATTACACAAAATTTCAATTGTTATGTTACAAAGAAATCTGTACCTATATTCATAATATTACTTTAAATCCATTATGTATAGCATGGTCACTGAACAGAGAGAATTTCTTACCATGACTTTTATTGATAGATACCAGTAAAAATTTTAGATTCACATTCCTATGGCAAAATTGGTTAGATGCATCTGTGACAGTACAATAGCTATATGTTTCTGCACAGTAAAAGAGATATATAATACTAGGTAATTGTACGAAATATCTTTTCAATATACAAACAAATAAGTATGAATTGTTTAAAAATACAGTTTTATTGATATAGTTCAAAGTCTAAGACAAATGTTTTTATTATTCCAGGAAGCTCAAAGTAATGAAAGCTCATCATCTATTGCAGTCTTGTCAGCACCTGACTTGCAACTAGACTGGGTGTCAGATACCAGCTCGGACGATGATGTACAAGTACTAGGAGATGATAGTAATGTAAGCCATATTTTATTTATATCTTCAAACATTACGGTTTTCGCTTATACTAGCTTGAGGCCTTTCAGTACATTGTAGACATAACCTTAGTGTAAAAAATCTATTTCTTCATATTACTTTTTAAACTATAATATATACTAATATTATTAAAGAGGAGAGATTTGATTGCTTGTTGATTTATTTGTTTGCATTGAATAGGCTCAGAAACTACATAGCCGATTTAAAAAATTCTTTCACCCACTGGAAACTATATCATACGCGGGTGACATAGGCTATATATTATATAATTAACACGGTCGAAGTTACGGGAAAATGGCTATAATCCAATCGATAAACATAGAATTTTGTATGTTGTGCCTACCGATAAGTTGATTACTTTAACTATAGGTGTACCAGAATTTAACAGCACAAAATAAAAAGTATAAATTTTGATTTTCTTATGGCAATGTAAATAGGGATGAAGACTAATTTTTGTTTGTCAGGTAGACTGTTGAAAAATATTTAACACTTTTTTTTTATCGTAATCATTAAAGTGTTGCTAATATATATTAGACAGGTAGATGTTTGTGTACTAATTATCTCCCACGCAGATTGCTAATCTACGTCGAAGTTTGCTGTGATCGGAGCTAGGTCATGAGTATGTTCAATGCTATGAAGCAGTTATTGAAAAATTTTATATTATTAATATTACAATTATCAAGACGTCTTTATCCTTTTTCGCCAATATTGCCTTCTACAAATTTAAATTTCCCAATTTGCCATCAATTCTGGTACACCTATACGACAAAAATAGCTAGATGCATCTATACAAACACAATAGCAATGTTTACGCACGGGCGAAAGAGATTTATGAAGCCGTTTTATTGTACGAAATTGTCTCTTCTGCGATCGGACTATAAAACTTATGCTAATAAACTAAAAACACGGAAATGTTTTTTTTTTCAATAGCCTCAGTTATTTTTTATGAGCGATATTGTAGAGCGCTAACATCTGGTATTTGTTCACTAGCGCGTCGTGATAGATTTGACAAGTTCGCCAGATCGCGATCCTAGCGCGGAGTATAATGACACGTCACCGCCGACGACGGCGCCGTCGCCGCCGCGTCTGTACGAGCCGTGCGCTCAGGATCCGCCCAATTATCGGCATTACGGACAAATACCGCACGCGCACCTTAGAAGGTTAGTACTTTACACTTTCCTTTTTCAGGCTGATTTTTTTGCAGTCAGATTTTTTTTTATCATTGCCCTGTGGTTTAAAATGTTATTAATTAACAAATATATATAATTTTTTCAATTCCATATTTCAATATTAAAATTGATAATTTAATTCTTATTTTAATATTTATTAAAATTTTCATATTACATATTAGACATCTATTTACTAAACAGAGAGTAATAAATCCTACTTGTTATGTTCAGTTTTTACTCTCAGTTTACTAAAGACGAGATTGGTAATAAAAATAAAATCAGAGTAATACATTTTTCATAAAGCATTTTCAAGATTTAAGAGAAAGCATACAATACTAAAATTTTCTGTATACATTGTTCGGCGCATACTTCATGTGGATAACCTTCGTCATTGTTACCAATTTGCAAGCAATAGTTATGTTTGGTATTGTGTCAGTTGTGTTTTTGTTTATGTGTAGGGTAAGGGTGGGATGTGCGGGCCGCTGCTGCTGCTCACCCGGGCATGCGCTTCACTTGTTCCCACCGCCTCATGCGCACAGTCAGTATACAATACACGGCTGTTTAAAAACATTTATATAAAATAAAATATAAACTATATTTTCTTAAAGCTACAGCAGTAAAAACAATATATCAATTTGTTTTCACTGTAATAATATATAGTAATAGTAATAATTTTATGAGGCTCCGCGGACCACTGATCTAACGCATCTAGTTTAACTTTTTTACTAGTAAATAATAAGTAAACGGCAATTACTAACGTCAAATTAATTAAGTCTCTAATTACGACAATTAGTGCATTACAATAACGAGTACATATTTAAAGATTTGTTTTATACCCAGTGAGTGATCGTCGACGGGACGTGATGCCCATAGCTCCGCCGTATATAGTCCACGAACGTCTGTGGCATCGGCAACAACATATGCTCGTGAGTATTACTATACTAGTATTGAGTATTACTTTACAGTTTTATGCCAATATTTCTATGAAACTTAAGTATAAGTTTCATAGAAATATTGGCACACATATACACATATGTTTTCTAAATTCAACAACACGCAAGATTATTATTATAAGTCTTAATACAATGATATTTAAGTTAGAATTCAATTGCAGAAGATTGATAAACTAAAACTTATAAATGTGCTATGTAATATACTCCTATCATCTATGACGCTATACCTTTTGCTGTAGACTGATGCATCCTTGCAATAAATCTTTTTTTTGTAACCTCTAAGGTTCTAAGGTACGAATTAACATGACATCTGAAAGGTTATTCTATTTCTCCGAAAACGAAATTTCATATATTTTCTACATGCTAATACCATTCATCTTTTGATAATTTATGATGCAACGGAGGTAGGACGCGACGCTACCTCTTAATGCACAGATAATTAACAAAATTATAAGAAATATTTGCAATTTAACGTAGTTTCTTTAAAACTTTTCTTGCCAGACAAGTAATACATTCATTGGATTTGTATCAATAATGTGTTCCATGTTTTGTTGACTATATACTATATATAGGAGGTGCAGCGTCGAAGCATGATGGGCGACATGGGCGGTGGGTTTGTCCATTTCCCGACAGCTTATACTATGCCACCTCCGCCTACCACCGTGCTCTCTGTAAGTATAAAGATATAGGATCTTATACTCCTAACAAAATCCTTTGTACAGAGGCTGGTGAAAAAAAAAAAAACTAAATTTCAATGACAGCCAACCGCAGGAATGCAAAGCTGCAATTGAATTATATTCTTCTTTATAAAAAAAGAGGATTATTGAGGGTATATCTTTAGACTTTTATGGATTTTGATGTGAAAATATCACTAGCTTTAGTAATTTCGTTATTAATATCTGCATCTAAATATCTATAATCAAATTAGAGTTTTATCAATTTTAAAAGCGGCATCAAATTTTCTGTTTCCGTCCCAAATAAAAACAAAGGGCGAATAAATAAACTGACTATTCGTTTAGTCTAGTGCTCTAATTAAGTTCATCGATAGAAATGATTCGTTTAATAATCCTATTAATATTATAAATCTGAAAATTTCTTTGTTTGGTCGTTTGTCCGTCAATCACGCAGAAACTACTGAACGGATTTTGATGAAATTTGGTACACAGCTAGGGTATTAGCTACTTTTTATCCCACTAAACGCTAAAGGGAAAGCTAGTTGCTAATATATGATAATTCCACAGTTCCAAGATGAGTATGAACCGCGCGATCTGCGCTCCAACCGGCCTGCTCAGGGCTTGGCAGCTGGCATCGCACCCGCTCCTATGGTTCTGTGAGTACATCATCATTAGAAAAAGTTTTTTTTTAGTATACGTATGGACTAAATAATTATGACACTTCTATTTTTATTATTGATTATTTTCTTAAAATATTTTTTAATTTAAAAAATAACACAAAGTCGCTAATAAAAATAAAAAAAATATTTTGAAAGAGTCTTTGACTCCTGGTTTGGTTCTCCCAATTTTGTCCACCAGTATATTTATAATATATTCATATGTATTAACTATTATTTGTATTATCCATTTATTATGAACTTCCTTTTTTTCCAGTTGACCTAGAATGCTTAACAAATCTCTTCTGTTCTTTATTTTAAAACATTGAATACCTAAATATACTCCTTATCTAGCTATACTCTATCTATAATTATCGTTTTATTTGATTAGTATTTTTGAAACCAGTGAAAAAAAAAACTGTTTTAAAATTGAATATCCAATAAAAACAATAGACATATTATTTACAGGCGTTTATTTAGTTTGAATCTAATGATTAGATTATGGAGCTTTGTAATTACAGTCACAGTACAAATATATAAGTAGGTGCACTCGAGACCCGAGCTAGAGATAATAGTCTAACCTGTCGCTTATAGGTTATTCAATCGTCAGAAATGCACTGTCAATCAATCTCTAAAATATAGTTTTCCCCGGTATGGTTAGCATCTGGGAACTATAATACAACTTTTTTTTAATATAGACCAGGAGCTGACTACAATTTTTTTCATACCTACGTCATGTCATCAATTTAGCGTTTTGTAAAATTAAAACGTGGTTTTAATGAATTATGTATTTATTCAATATTTGCCAAATAATCAGGCTACGAACAAAATAAGATAATGCCGATCTTAATTTTCAATAATCTTGTGCTTTGTACAAACAGTTTCTATCAATGGCCCATATTCTTTTTATATCTATAATTACATTGTCTAATACGCAAATATACAATTCAATGTCAATTTCAATTTGGCGGTATTCGGGCATAGTGAGTTAATAAATTAAACTACAAATTGATATCTGATTAAACTACAAATTGATATCTTACCCTCCAATCCGCATTGGGCCAGCGTGGAGGGTTATGGCCCATCCTCCTTAACCTGGGATAATAAGGAAGGCCTGAGCCCCTGCAGTGGGGACGTGAAAGGGCTGGTGATGATATCTGGTAAACGAAATCTTAAGCAGAAATAAGTGATGAACACTTTCGATGGGTAAACTACACAAAATTATAATACACTTACAGCTAGTTGCACAAACGTCCATTAAAATTTTCATTAGTTTAAAGGGACATTACCCATACAAATTTGACATTCATTAGAGCTTAAAAGTGTCATTAAACCTTAATGGACGTTTGTGCAACTGACCGTAAGCTACACAAAATTATAATTACTTATGATATTATAAAAAATTACCAGAATAACTAAAGAACGAAATACCATATACTTGATTTATAAAAATGAATGAAAAACCATATAATATTAACATCACCTGTTGGGGATGGAAACAACAGTTTGGAGATTTGAAGGCGTTTATTCTTTCTTCTTATTTGCAGTACAAAGTACGAAAACGTTCGTAGGCATGCTTTCATACAAATCGGGTTTACTTAAGTGGGATTTGTTCGTTCGCACTTAGCTACTATCCTAACGCGTTAATTGACCTAATAGATTCATGTTATGTCGGTGCCCCTTCCACTATGCGGCGGGGAGGTCGCGGGGGGGTGCTCCCGTCGCTGCTGCCCGTGGTGTGCCCCCTCCACTCGTTGCGGGGGTGAGGTTGCGGGGAAGGGTCTTCATGTCCGCCGTCCGTAACAGTTCTCCCCCCGGCGAAGAGACGCTCGAAGAGATGCTCGGAGCCCCTTTCGCCGGATCGGACGGCTCGCCAGGCTCAGGATCGCAGCGCGTCCCTCCCCGCTGGTCCGGGGGAGGTGCGGATAATGTGTCCAGTGTCTCGGTGGTCAGCACGATGAGCTTCCTCGTTGGTCGCCGAAACAGCCCACCTCTGGTGCGTACGTCGGCGCTTCGGATCTCGCCGTCGGGCCCGGGGAAGATGCGTTCGATTACTCCCCGGGGCCAGGTGTTGCGCGGTGAGTTCGGGTCGGCGATGATGACGAGATCGCCTACTCGAAGTGCGGCTTCTTTTCTTGTTTCGCCCCTCGGTACCAGCGTCGGAAGATATTCCTTCATCCAGCGCTGGCAGAAACTGTCGGCGAGCGCTTGGGCGGCCCGCCATTGGCGCCTGTCGCAGGGTCGACAGGGGCCGGTGAGTGGTAGACCCGATGATGTTCCTAGGAGGAAGTGATTCGGTGTGAGGGCTTCGGCGTCGGCCGGGCTGACCGATACGTGGGTCAACGGTCGTGAGTTCACCGCGTGTTCGGCTTCGGTCATCAGCGTATGGAGCACCTCTTCTTTCGGTGCCCTCTCGTGCAGCGTTGTGGCTAGAGCTGTCTTGACGGACCGCACTAGTCGCTCCCATGCTCCCCCCTGGTTGGGTGCGCCAGGGGGGATGAACTTCCATTCGACGCGCCGTTGCAGCAGGTAATCTTGTAGTCTGGGGGCCCATTCTCGTATGGCCGCTTGTAGTTCCTTGTCGGCGCCTTTGAAGTTCGTTGCGTTATCGCTCATTATAGTTTTCGGCCATCCACGCCGCGCTGCCATTCTTCTTATCGCCATTATCGCTGAGTCTGTGCTGAGGCTTGCCACAACTTCTAGATGTATCGCTCGGGTGGTTAGGCAAGTAAACAATGCGCCCCAGCGCTTCTCGTGGCGTCGTCCTACGGTGACGGTCATTGGCCCGTAGTAATCGAGGCCACAGCGCGTGAAGGGCCTGAGGTGCGGGCTGAGTCGTTCGCGCGGTAAGTCCCCTGTAGATGGCGTTGTTGGCTTCGATCTTCTAACTCTGCACATCACGCATGCGCGGGTGGCGGTGCGAACCGACGGACGTAGGCGCAATATCCAGTAGCGTTGTCGTAATTCGTTGATGA